CACACACACACACACACACACACACACACACACACACACACACAGAACAGGATGCGGAAGAGGAGGAGGAGGTACCTGTGGGGTCAAACAGTGATTGGACGTTGATGTCATGAGGAAGGCCGATGGGTCCAAGCTGCTTAAGGAACTCTGAGGAAGACTCTGAAACAGCAGCACACAGTGAACAGTCAAACATCAACAACAGCGATCAGGTTGGAACTGTTTCAGTGAACGGGGAGTACTCACCACACTGTTCTGGACTGCAGCACCTGCGCGCGCACGCACACGCACACGCACACGCACACACACACACACACACACACACACACACACACGTCTATGGTTAGCTCGTGACTGTGGTGTCTCTGGAAGGAGAGGGGAAAGAGGAAGTGATGTCACTTACGTGGCCGGGGCTTGGCTGCCGCGGTAGCAGTGGTCGTGGCAGTCGTTGTCTCGGTCGGAGGAGGCGCGGCGATTGAGGATGTGGAGCGGGATGTAGCCGGGCGTCGGGCCGAACACCACCAGCCGGCCCTGGCCCAGAGGAGGCTCGTCGCCGTGGTAACAGAAGGCACACTGCTTCAGCCTGGGGAGAAAAAAACGATGCGTTCAGGAGGTGAGGCGTCACCTGACAGATGACACGGACATTTATCTGCTTCAATCAGGTTCATCACAAAGTCACGTCAGATCTGACTGGAGACATTAAATCTGGAGACTTTCAAAACAAAAGCCTCCCCGGTTTGCCTGCTGAGTGCCGTTGTGGGTGTGCAGGGCGGTCCACAAGCACTCACCTTTTTTTGGTGTGTCCAAGGCTGGGGGTGGGCGAGCCCCCGGAGTCCTCCGACAGAGACCGCTGGAACAGCGGGGACAGCGAGTCCTCGTCCTCCAACCGCAGACAGGGGGACACTGGAGGACTGGAGCGGGGACTGACGGCTGGACTCTGCTCCACGGGGCCAGCCCCGTCCTCCTCTACTTCTATGGGAACCAGGCTGCAGTCCACATCCGTAGGGGTGGGGCTGTGACTCGGACTGGGCCGGTCTTCCTCCACAGGATCAGGATCAGGATCAGGAACAGGATCAAGATGATGGGATTGGGATGGAGGGCTGGAGGGGGGGAGAAGAGGGCTAGAGGCTAGGGGCGGAGCCTCTGAGTGGAGTCTGTCCTCCACCTCCCCCTCCTCCTCCTCAGCACTGGGAGCCAGCTCAGGGTCGGGGGGCACCGGTCCTGGATCCGGGTCAGGATCAGGATCTGGACTGGGCTCGTCCTGGGCAGGTTCAGAGCTTGTTTTGGATTTTCTCCTGGAGGTGGAGCGCTGCCGCCGTGTGGTCTGAGCCTTCACCTCTGTGGACACGCACACACACAGTCACAAACGTATGCAGGACACAAGAGGTGCATTGTGGGTAACATCACACGTTCTTAATCTCCAGCATGACACCATGTTTTACGTCAGAGCGGGTGAACAGCACTGGTGGAGGTGTAGATGCCCTCGTGTGGGCGTACCTGAGCAGGTGAGGTTCAGGCTACGTCTGCACGTACACGACGTTTTCGATCACTGAAAACTTTTTAAAAACTCTGTTTTTGTGTTTACATGTGGACGAGGAAAACAGAGATTACTTACGCAACGTCAAATGTTTGCATCTTTTTTGACGTCATGCAGTGCGCCACGTTATTGTTTACATGAGACGAATTTCTACAACGGTGGATAGAAACGAAACGCTGCCGTTAATCTGACTGTCTGCAGTTTTTACACACTCACACAAACACAGAGGCGTCAGAGTGAACTCCTCCACCCAACACAGACGCTCTCTCAGCCCAAATCCTGACATCGGTTTTGATTAAATTTAAATGTTTTAAATTAGAACGTATGTGTGCTTTCTGTTCAATCCTGAGTTGTGAGTCTACACCAGCTAAAATACTGTTTTTTAGAGGTGGGAATCACCATACATCCCACGATACGATATTATTGCAATTTTTTAAAATATTTTGTGATATTCAGATTCTGTACATAAAGGTAAACTTTATCAATATTCATTTTATCTAATATCAAAGTCTCGCACTCAGTCTTTCTCTCATTTCAGTTTTATTGTTGACAAACTGAACGGTTTGTATTACAGTCTAGTCCAACTTAACTGAATGCAACCATCTGGTACAATTACAGCTATTCTGAACTATGCAATATGAAAACTATGCAGCCCCTTCAGCAACTGAAGAATTTGAAAGTAAATTAAAACAAAATATAATTTTACATTAAATAAAAAAGTTTTAAACTTAATTAAAATAAAACATGTCTTAAATTAAAATAAGTAAACTGTCGTGTTTATTGCTGCCAAAAAACAGTTAAACACATTTGGACAGTGTCAGGATTCCTGCTCAGAAAAAGGATCAACGTGCTCTGAAGTCAGAGTTCCAGTCCACAAAAACTTTTTTTGTAACAAAATATCGATTTCTGCTGTCCCTGTATCGATACATTATTAGCAAACAAAATATCACGATACCACACAGTATCGATTTTTTCCCCCACCCCTACTGTTTTTGGATATTCACATTTGAAACAAAATTAGCTGCCTTTCAAGAAAAACAAAAACTTTCCAGAAGTCCTTGAAACCCGTTTCCTCTTTCCCTCCCAGGCTTCGAGACTTCTGATTGGCCAACATTTGTACACGGCTAGGATTTGGCATGTTCTTGACAACATTTGACTGCGTTTTTGGCGGTTACATGTGGACAGGATTCTTTTAAAAACGGAGAATCTCAGTTTTCAGAAATAGCCGTGTACGTGTTGATGTAGCCTCCAACACTCAGCCCTCGTAGCCTCAAACACAGACATCCAGCTGGTTCTACACACCTGTCTTCTGGAGGGGCTTCGTCTCTGTGGCATCCATGCTCTCTTCATCCTCTACCTGAGCTCGTCCTCGGCTCCGCCCCCTGCGTGCACGCACACACACACACACACACAGAGCAGTTAGAGGTTAACACAGTGAAGGAACAGCATTAACCCTCTGGATCCTCCTCCAGCTGTGTCCCCTTTGAAGCCATTGCAGCCAGCACATCTGGATCCCTTCGATGTGAGCGCCATGCCTGACTTGTGTGTTACAGCAGGAGGAGATCAGCTGCTGCGTTACATCATCACCCGACTGAAACGAGCATCAAAAAATTAAAAAAAAGAAAAAAAAGAAAAAAAAGAAAATGTCAATGAAATCAGGAAAACAACAGTTAGCACCCGACGCTGCTTTCTCACAGCTGTTTCACTCCGCCCACAGAAACAAGGACGGCGTTGGCTCCTCAGACAGCTGCCTGAAGGTCCTGATGAAACGCACGTGTAGCCCAGCAGGTCACAGCTGAGACTCACGACTGCTTTAACCGCAGAGGCCCGATCAGCCTGTGGCGGTGAGGGTCCTCACAAAGACAGAATTACAAACGTGTGTGTGTGTAGTCGTTGGCTAATGAGCATCAGGAAACACCTGAATCAGGTAAACATGATGACATCACAACAGAGATCTGTGTGTGTGGCAGGAGGTAAAACCAGGAGCCAGCACGTGCCCCCTGTCAGACTCCCTCGTTACCCAGCATGCAACTCAACTACTTCCTCTCCAACACACACACCTGTATATTTGTCTCTGTGAGGACTCTTCCCTCCACAGACTGAATCTAAGCAGCAAACACACACAGTCAAAGTTTCAGGACCTCCAGCATCACTTCCCCTGCACTGAGTGTGGATCAGGTCCAGGCTCGCCCTGCTGGATGATTCTGGGTCCACCTCAGGGCGATCTCGCTGCTAGCTTCCACACATTTCTGACCCTCTGACTCAAACTCCAGACCTCAGATGTGCTTCTCTGTCCTAAAATAAGGAGGCTGTTACTCAGTTACTCTGAAGTGAAAATGGAGCGCGGTGGTTTCTAAACACAGTTAATGTCGTACTTTTACATCATCGCCGTGCTGCAGATGGCGTTAGCCTCGTGGGACCACACAGAGCTGTTGCCGAGCTGCTCGACCTTCTTACAGGTGTCGATTGTGGCCTACGGTGGTCTGCACCATGCTGGATCAGGAACGTGAAGCTCTAAAACAGCAGTGCTGACCCTGCTCTGACTCCAGGATCCTCCCCTCTGACTCACCTGCTTCATTTATGCAGAAATACCAAACATGCAGCTGCTAACCTGCAGCCACGTTGTTCAGCTGGAGGAGGCACCACGGATCAACCTGCTGCAGGAACCGGTGAGCACACCTGAGCACACACTCACATCACACACACACACTTACTTCTTTCTTGATTTGGGGGGCGGAGGGGGAGGAGGAGGAGGCGGGGCAGCAGGTCCAGAGCGCCCGCTGCTCCCATCTTTCCTCGGTCGCCCACGGGGCCGCCTCTCAGGGGCGGGGCTAGAAGCAGTGGCTTTGGCCAGCTGAGCGCTGCGGCCGGCCCGAGTGACGGGAGGGGGTGGCCCTCTGTCCCGAGGCTCCTGAGGCTGAGCCTCAGATGGCATTCTGGGTAAAGAAAGAGAGAGAGGTGAGGAACAGGGTGGAGCTGGGATTTATGCTTCCCCTTTAAACCCACACTACACATAAGCCACGCCCACAAACCCTCTGAAACCTGACTGCAGCCCGCCACCTTCTTCCTCTTCTACTGTTACTTTTGCGACAGGAAGCTGGAAGAGAACAAATAAACAAGAGAAGAGAAACCGTACCGCCCCCTGGTGTTTGGGCGGTGAACTGCAGAACACAGACACTATAAACTCAGGACAGCCGCACAGCCATCAGGTGTGTCACCTGTGTGTGGTAGCCGATGCATAAAACGAGTTTCCTCACGTGAACGCTCCACAGCTGACCTGCTATTTCACACGAGAACAAGTCACACCTCAAAGTTTACAAAGCTGATGTAAAGGACTCAAAGCTTCCAGGCACGACAACGCACAGACACCCACAGCCAGATGTTGGACACCTGCAGGGACTCCCCCAGGAAGAGCAGCAGCTCGGTGTGTGAGGTCACACAGAGAGGGCGCGCTGTGCGTCCTCTGAGCTCAGGTGAAGAACAGACGCCACGAGGACGATTCAGCAGCTCCTAGACGCTGCGCGACCAAACTTGAGGATCAGGTGACTGCATAGCAACAGTGAGTGACGCTCAGGTGTGCTGCATTAACACACCTCAGAGGTCAAAGGTCAGACTGTTCGCAGAGCCTCCTACAGAACGAGGAGGACGTGAACAACGATGGGAGGAGCTAACCAATACCAGCACGGTGCACAGCGAGCTACAGACCCTCCCACAACCTGTCGTAAGGAAGTTCTCAAGAACCAATCAGGAACACAGAGTTTTCCATAGCGACCGGTGTCTGGGCCTCGGTAAGCTAACCCTGCAGCGCTGATGGTCACATGACTGCAAACCCTCCACACGCAGACACGCTCAGTTTAAACCTCGAGCTTGTGATTCACACGGCCGCCGCCACACTCTCCCGTCTGTTTCTCGGCCCATTAACAGCTATGGCGCCATCATCACACACGGGTGTAAGCGGCCCACGTAGCGCCGCTCAGCTCACCCTAAAGTCAGAAAGGCAGGTGGAAGTGGTGTTTGAAGCAGCAGGTGAGGTTAAAGCGCCCAAAAGGTGGGCCGAGGGGCGACTGTTACTGACAAGAAAAGCTTCCTCAGTGACACCGGCCGCGCTGAACCTCTGCCAGGCGCCACACGGTCCCCTATAAACCACTTCCTGTGAGCTGCCAGAGGTGCGACTACGTTGTGTCTCTCTGAGCGTGAACAGAAACAAAAACTGATGCACCCGCCTGGACCAGAACGAAGCCGCCGCCACCTCACAGCAGCTCATCCAGCCACTCGTGCAACATGAAGCTGAGCGACCTTTGACCCTGTCTGCCTGTTGATCAGTGTCACAGCATCCTGGGTTGGTAAAGGACCCTGAGACAGTTGCTGCCATCTGAGACGCTCCCGTGGGACATTTTGTTGTTTTTACTCGACGATCATTAAAAATGTTTTTAATCTGAGGAGGTGCACTCAGCTCTGCCGCTGTCGGGTGGAGGCCAGCACCACCCTGTCTCATTGCAGGAAACCCCACTAACCAGACCTGGTTTCAGTCTGACGCCGCTGCGGCTCAACGATGGCGCAAACCATAACCGGGATTATTTTACTCACTGACCTAATTTGGATTATTTACCGTGGTCACCTGAACTTTATTAAACCTGGAAGGACAAACGGGGACACGCAGAGGCCCAGACCAGCCTCATCGCAACCAACCAATCAGCAACCGGAACCCAGGTTACTGATCCTCAGGGTCCTGCCCCCTCACGGAGACAAATCAGCCTCGGTTAGCGTTGCCGCATGCAAGCTGCAGAGACTCAAAGCCAACTTTCAAAGCACAGGTGCTCACTGAAAAGTTTGAACCTTCATTTCTGTGAGCTTCTGTTCCGCTCAATGACCTGTGATCACATGCCCTCCAAACGTCCAATCAGGGGTGGGAAGAGCCCAGCTGGCTCGAGCTGAACTAAACAGCGAGTGCATATGCGCTTCTGCTGAGGAACAAACACAGTGATCATTTCCACAAAATCACAGCTGACATTAAAACACGATTAACCTCTAACGTCCACGCTTCCTGTCCGACGGGCGGCGGGGTCCCTTCAGCTCGGCAAACATGGCAGAAAAGCAGCTGAGGAGGAGCTGCAGCAAACACGGCACGGAAACATGGCTTTACGGCGCCGTTTAGTTCAGGCACAGGAAGTAAACAAAAACACGAGCTCATCTTTAATTCCACTGGCTGATTAGCTGTGTGGGCAGGCAACCATCTATGTCCAGGTGAATTCACCATCAAGCGCAAGAGACATGTGGCATGTTTGAAGTTTAAGGAGAATATCTGGTGTTTGTGGATGCTGGTCTCATCTTTGATCCACGCCACCAACAGCTGCAGTGCACCTCCACCTTAGACTGTAAACTACGCCTGTCTCCATATTCTGACTGTTTACAGACAAACGGATCAATCAATCAGTGAAAACTAACCAGCAGATCTGATTGACTCGATCAGCACCTGTGGGATAATTGGAACCAGATTAGGGTTGACTCTCGGATGGAACAGGTACAGGTGAGCGCTGCTGTTGCCTGTGTAGGTATTATGCCTCTGCTCTGTGTGCCAGCTTAATGTAATCCAGCTGTTTACCCCGGGACCGATGAGGTGCAGCTCTCTGGTGTCAGCTGGTCAGAGTACTCACCTGCACAGGTGCACAGTGTTTACAGTGTGCTGATTAAACGGACCTAGTGCATATTTTGGTGTGTTTTTCACTTTTCGAGCTGCTGTGTGTGTACCTGCCCAGGTGTGCCGCTGGACACCAGGTGAGCTCAGTGTTGTGTCTGGTGAGGTTAAGGTCTCAGGTGAGCCTCGCTGGGTGGCTGTGTGTGGGTTAGCATGCTAATAAGCTCGCCTGTCACAGCGGCCGTGGAGCCCGGTACTGCCGCCTGTGAGCCCGCTCACAGCCCCACACGCTCGGTGCGGCCTCGGTGAGGGTACCGGGAGCCGTTCGGTGGTTCTAACTCGCTGTTTAAAGGCTTTCCTCCGGCCCGGAGCGGCTAGCGCTTAGCCGTTAGCTCGCTCGGACCGCCCAGTTGACTGATCACTTCTGTTAGCGTTAGCGTGCAGGCTAGCTGTTAGCAGCCCGGTCCGCGGCGCGCTAGTGGCGGGTCGGGATCGGCGGCAGGAAGCCGGACGTTTAGCGAGCCGCGGGAGTGTCGAGAGAATAGGGAAGAAGCGTCCTTACTGATTCGATGCAATTCTCTTTTTCCTCTCCAGCTTTCAGCCAACTTAGAGCGACGACTTCAAAGCCAGCAGCGAACTTCTGCCAACCTCAGCCTCCGTTTGACACGCCTGGCACGGCCGGGTCTCCGGCGGAACATTCCCGGCGGAGCACGGAGGGAAAAGCGCGGTTTTTACTCCGAAAACTGGCGAAAAATTAAAGTTGAAGCGGTCGCTCCGTCACGGAGGCCATGTTTGGGAGCAACCGAACCACCGCCTGTCAGTGCCAGCAGAGGAAGTAGGTCCCGCAAAACACGTCCCGCCTCGCTGGGCCGCACGCTCCCGTCAGACCCAGACACGGGCGGCGTGTACCGAGGATCGGCCTGTGAAAAGTGCCGGTGTGCAAGCCTCCACGCGGGCACCGGGAATATTTGTTTGTGTTGTGTAAAAAGTGTGTCTGACCCCGCGGAGGGATCAGTTGGAGGACTGCTCTGGTGAAGCGGCTCTGTCAGCAGACCTGGAAGTCCCGGAGCGGAGCGCGAGGATCCGGACCGCGCCAGGCACGTGCCCGAGCACGGAGCAGAGGGTCGGGGTCAAGGGTCAGGTTAGTATCGACCCGAGAGCGCCACGCCTGCAGTAAGAGGTTCCGGTTATTAGCCACTAAAGTTTAAAAGAGCCAAACTGTCCGTGACAGTGACGTCATCACCCTCATCACAGGGATGCTGACGTGGTGGGCGTGTCTGTCTTGGATAACACTGATGGTTATGATCGTTGTTTCATGTATTATGTATGTCAGACAGGAGAGAATAAGCTCCGCCCACAGTACCAGTATACCTGCAGCACCTGGAGCTGACGCCACACCCACCTCAGTTATTATTAATTAATCTACAATCTGCTGATGGGTCTGAGTGGAAACAAACACACAGGTCACAACATACATGTCCAGTTTATTGAACACAAACACTAATGCTGACCCTTTGGCCCCTAACAATGACCTCATCCTGACCCCACCCCCTCCATTTTCCCTGTACAGTCCCACCTGTGCAGCTCATTACAGTCTGCTCCTGTTTCCACTGTGGGCCGAGCAGCAGTCAGAGCACAGAATCACATCACACAGAAAAACACGCAGATGAAGTAAACAGTCTGTGCTGTGAGGGGCGTGTCTGCGGCGAGGGCTCAAATGTGATTGGTCCCTCAGCCAGATGACGGACATCTCCCTGATCCATGATTGGACCAGAGTCTGAGTTACTGACGTGCAGCACATTTGTTCTCCTCCGACGCAGACAGGAACTCCACTCCTGCCTCCGTCACACAGAAGGAGCTGCTCCAGGAGACCTTGACCCTCGAAGAGAAGGTGGTGCAGTGGACGGTGAAGATCTGCTGTCTCCTCTGCTCCTGGTCGTGTCCTCCTTCGGCAGCCATGTTGTTTCCTGGCTCCTGCCTGGAGCACAGCAGCCGGTGGGTCACCAGCCTCTGCCAGGAGCGGCAGAGGTACGACCGCTCGGAGTCTGAGGAGGAGGAGGGGACGCCGGGCCTCCTGATGGCGTGACAGGTGGCGAAGACAGTAATTCTGTAATCCCTGTGGAGTAGGAGGAGTCAAAAATCAGAAAATTAGTGAGCCACAGTCCAGAACAGAACCACCACAGGCTCCACTCAGGCTCGGTATTTGACCCAGCAAAACACGAACAAACCAGCATTTTACACAAACACTCGTCAGAGCGTGAGCGATTGACCAGCCAACACCCTGACCTACGGTGCTGACACTGCAGTTTGACCACCAGGGGGCACTCTGCACATGTGTTTGTACCTGAAAGAGAAAAGCTGCGCACATGACCGTGATCATATCAGAGCTCAGCGGAAGCCTTCAGAGTGGTGGTGATGTCACGCAGCGCACTGTAACGCATGACCTGCGAGCAGCCTGAATCAGTCTAACTCCACCCACCTGAGCAGGCGTCCCAGCAGCTCCACACACCTACTGAGCTTCTCCTCCTGTTTGGTGTAGCTGGCCCCACCCTCGCAGCGATCCACCCAATAAAACGCGGAAATGCTGTCTATGAGGATGAGCGCCAGGGCGGGCCGTGATGACAAGGTGGTCTCCAGGAAGTGGAGGGTGAGGAGGAGCTGTGAGGAGGAGTAGCAGTGAACAAACAGGAGGCGGGACAGACATGAGCGCAGCGCCGCCTCGTCTGCTCCGGCCAACAGCGCTAAGGACCCGGAGAGAAAGGGTTAGTGTGTAACTTCCTGTTTGTTTGTGTGTGTGTGTGTGCATGCGTGTGCATATACCTGCGCTCAGTTTGCTGTCCAGGATGCTGACCAGGTGTAACATGTCTAGGCTGTAGTCGGTGTCCACAAACACCACATCCACCTCCAGACCCCCAGCTGCCTCTGGCAGCACGCAGCGGCACAGCAGGTGATACAGCAGCTCCGTCTTACCTGAGCAACACACACACACACAGTTTACATTCAGGTTAAAGGTGGAGGCACTTCCTGCATCGTGAACTCACCTGTGCCCTCCAGCCCAAACAGCTCCACCACCGCACCTGAGAGCAAGAAACAACACATAGAATGAGACAGTCACCTGACTGACAGCATGTGTCAGCTGTGAGTGGGTGGGCGTGGCCAGTCACCTTGGTCGGGTCCTCGGTCTTCCGGAAACAGACGAGGCTCAATATCCTTAAGGCAGCGCCGTGCCTCCAGACGAGCTAACAGCTGACAAGACGCACACACCGTTACACTCTGCTCCAGGATATACACTCTGCCCCAGGATATACACTGTACAGATCATTACACACTGCTGCAGCACGTAGACTGTACCACACTACAAACTAAACGCGTGTTTTGAGTTTCCGGTAGCATCTCCAGCTGTGCAGAGCTCTGCTCAGTGAAGGTCACAGCAACACACCTGTAGCAAACTCGAACAGGTAACTGTCTGTTTTCTTCCTACATCGCTTGTAAGCAGACACACACCCTCTGACAGTTACCGTCACGCGGTGCTAACAGCGCGGTCACGTGACACACAGGCAAACACGGGCTTCGGTTTCTCACCTGAGCGCCGCTCTCGCTCATCTCAGCAGAGCTCCTTCTCCTTCGGGACCCGCCACGGCTGTTTTGAACTGACTTCCGGTTTCCGCCATATTGCGACCGCCACAGCAACCGGAAACACGTGATCTCCACAGTAGCCGGAAACACGTAACTTCAGTTAAATCGACTTTGACAGGGAAAACTAAATTGTGTTTTTGTTACTATTGATGCTGCTGAAAAATAAATTTGGTTCTAAGTGTTTTAACACTCTGGGTTTATTTTAAAAAAAATCACCATCCCTTCAGCTCGTTTGTGGCCAAAAGTGTCCATGTGTTATGTTTTGTCAACGCGAGAGTTGAGCCTCGGGTGTGAAATGTATGGTTTTCAGGGTTTTCCTCGGTTTCCCTGGGTGTCTTCCCGTGTTGTAGTTGTGTCTTATTTTGAAAGGATTATTTACGCGTTACCATAGCGCCCAGAGAGCATTAAGGGCAGAGAGGAGGATGTTACTCTCAAAGTTGTTGGCGCATTTCAGGAGGACACTGCTAATAAAATTACACAATTACACAGCTGAATTCGCGTTTATTATATTTACAAAATACCACAGTTTTTGTAAACATAACTTCGCGGATTTCACCTACCGCGGGTTATTTTTAGAACGTAACTCCTGCGATAAACGAGGGACCACTATATTATTAATAGTAGAGTCTGGGACATTTAATTGATTAACATCAACATTATTGAGCACTATTATTTTTGTTCAAGGAGAGCAAAAACTATAAAACTCTCTCACCTTGTTCGTTGCCAAAAATGGCAACTTTTGTGTTTTGTTTTTTTTTACAAAATGCTGTAAAATGTATATTTATTAAAACATTGATCTACTTTTACCGACTTGACTCTTTAAATTAGCTCCAGTCCTTTTCATCAAAAAACCAAAATTTTATCTATATTCTTTTTTTTTACACTTTAAATGCCAGTTAGGTCATATATTACCAGTAACTTTTCAGGTAAAACAGTAATATAGTCCTAATGGTTTCATAAATCTTCGTATTTTTTTTTTTTTCATATAAGCATCGGGGACAAAGCTGTCTTGCAATTGTTGAGGTCACTATAGTGTGGGCCCTTTTTCTTCCAGGATCACTCTTCATTTGTAGGTTTAGAGGTCTCCTACTACTGTGAAGTGATTTTCATGGGACAAAGGCTTGTATTCCAAGATCTGGGAGATTGTAGAGATGAGCAGTGATGCCCTTCTTACCATCTTTCCAGAAAAATACGTGATCTACAAGCTGTTAGGCTGACTTACAGCAGCAGCACTTTCTGCACCTGCATAAACTCCAGGATACATTTACTAACAGTTTTTGTCGCTGTATGTGCTGCAGCTTTGATTTTTTTACTATAACCATATTTTACTCTACAAGAGTAAAAGTGTTTTTAGCAGGTGCTTCAAAGCTAAGTTTGACTGGGAAACTCAAAGCTCAACAGTCTGTATCAACAAAAATTCCCTGCAGCCTGTGTAATATTTGATGCGTCATAATTTATTCCAGTCTGTCTTGCAAATACATGTTTGCGTTGCAATGTCATGCACAACACACAACTATTAGACCCTTAAGAACAAACCTGTGTCATTCTTTTGGTCCACTGCAGTGTAGTAGTCAGCACAGAGCCCAGAGGGTTATACGTAAAATGTATAAAAATATTATTGATTACAGGATAATACATAAATGTTAATAGCAACTGTAACCTTTTTACTTTGAAGTTACAAGTATAAACAATGCTGTTACATTTACACTTAAATTTTTACTATAAGTATGGAAACAAGTGAACAACATTTTATAATAAGCTTAACTGGAATTCTGTACACTGAAAAGCAAACGGCACATAAAAACCACAAACAAACAGCCAGTGCCTTCATCTGTCCATCAAGTGTCAAACATCACATTGACCTGTAGTCTCTGCTCCGCACATGCTTTTAAAAAGAGCTCAATGTCCTCTGCAAACTGAGAAACAAAGAGGAGGAAGTCCCTCTACACAAACACTGCAGATGACAGGCCAGGCAAACATCTGTTGACCTGTTTGAATGCCTCCTCATCATGTGAGCCTTGAAGTTTTTTTGTAAGAAGAGTAAGACCAGAGTGAGGGCGTTTCATTTTCATGGACTTTCCACAAGCCGCAGTTTCATTTAGCACAGAGGGAGGAGCACATGAATGTTCTACTGAAGATTCAGGAAATGGTTTAGATGCTGGAGACGAGACATCGAGAGGGAGATGGGGCTCCACGGAGAGTTGAGTGGGAGAGGGGCGGGGCTCCACGGACAGTGCAGCGGGAGAGGGGCGGGGCTCCACGGAGAGTTTAGTGGGGAGCAGTCCTGAATGCTGACATGACAATAATTGCCTTGCCATATCCCCACGCTGTATGACTGTCATGTTGCAGACAGGGCAGTGAAAGTGCGCCGGCATATCATTCTGTCTGTAAGAGAGAGAAAAAAGAAAAACAACAATATGTAATTTAAATGCAGTTGTACAGAATGCAATCAGTTTATCTAACAATCAGATTGTACATATTAACAAAAACATCCAAGCCATCCTCAATAATGAAAGCAAAATGTTGTGGATCACAAGAGCTGTCAGGAAATGTGGTGAACAGGAATAAATATTTAATGAAAACACTTTTTTCTAGCTGATGAATGCACTGAACTGTACAATGTGAAAAGCATCTTTTAAGTCAACAAAGACACTGCAGAGGTGCTGAAAAGAAGGACTGGGAGTGGGGCACAGAGGGCAGTGAAACAGCCAACACGTGGTGCACTCCTGCAATTCTGGCTTGGAGGCAGAATTCCAATTTGATATGTGCATCTAAAACAGAGAGAAACAGATAAACACCATATACACCTTTAAGTTCAGGTTTTAGCAGAAATAACACGTTACAGTTAGCATGTTAGCGATTTGGGGAGAAAATTCTTTACAAAAACATAATTTACCAGACACTTTTATTTGTGACATACGTATCTATTGACATATAACAGACAATTTAACAAACGCTAACAAAAATCTGGGCAATAAAAAAGCAGAACAGAATGGAATAGAGAATAGCAGTATTTATAAATGTATAAATCTCTTTGTGACAAACTTTACAGCGTTGATGCAGGTGGAATGAAAGACGTGAACAAAGTGCAATACGCAGTAAATGGAACAATGTGCATTGATGTTACAGATCGTGAAAAGTAGTTCAATAAGAAGCAAAAATCAAATACGTTTGAAACTGACCACTAAATGCTAACCAGAGGTGTCAAAAGTGCAGTCTTACTAAAGTTTAGATACCTCGGGGGTCTGACCGTTGTTGTAACGCTAACAAAGTGCCAACGTAATTAGTGTAAGCAAACTAGATGATTTCTAAAATTATATAATTATTTACGGCAAATTTATACATGAAAGACTCTGTGCCAACCTTTATGATCCACTTGCAAGGTTTCCACAGTCAATGATCCGTGCAGTGCTACTGTGGAGGTCACGTGTTTTACGGCTACTGTGGAGGTCACGTGTTTCCGGTTACTGTGGAGGTCCCAATATGGCGCTCCCAGTGGCTGCAGCCAGACCCTTCTCCCACAAAGACCGCAGCTGGAGCATTACCGTAATGTTTATAACACTGCGCAGCAGAATGACTCGAGCTGCAGCCCTCTGACTTTAGCAATATGTGCAGCCCCTCCCCCTTTGAGCCAGCGTCTGTCTAATTGGCTGCCCGTCACAAACTGAAGGTGTGCTTCACCTGTGTGAAGCTAACGGCAGCATGTGAGTGATCACTGAGGCGCCAAATGGGGCTGAACTAGTGAGGAAGACGAGAGGTCAGAGGTCACGTTACTGAGGCGGGCAGTGACACTAACAGATGAGGCGAGCTAGCAGTGAAAGTGGAGGAGACTCCTGAACAGCAGCATCAGTCTAGTTTATAATCACAGACACAAAGGTGTTACCAGGGAGGCTGCTGATTGGACAATCGTGCCTTGCCTGTTATGTGCTGTGTTAGATGATAAACAGCTCTGTTCTTGTGTTTTTCTCAGTGAGGCCGAGTTTACCTGCACCACACCTGTCCTGCAGTCTGGTGTCCTCCAGTGGTCCTGAGTGCGAGGATGAGGATTGGTCGTCATGGTGACACTTTAAACTATATAATCTGAAAACTGATTCTTATTTAAACTCATCACACAGTGACGATGATGATGATGGAGGACTCTGCAGGGAGGACTTTCTCTGTCAGGACTGGAACTACTGCTAAATACACTCGAATACTTCGGTTTGATTGTAGCATTTGTGATATTTGTACTACGCAGTGATGGCTCCAGGCTCACCTGCAGTACCTGTGACGTCCACCAGGGGGTCATGGCCCACATTGATTTAGATTACTCAGAGCCTGACGCGACCTTATAAGGATATCCCCTCTCTGACATCATGCAGTTCCATGGGCGGTGCAGCCTGACCTTTGACCTCATTATTAGAAACCATGAACAGCAGGACAGAAAAAAGGAGCAGGACATTATTTCATTTTATTGTTCAAAAACAGTGTGACACACACACACACGTAAAATCACTGAAACCAGACTTCATAGAAAAAATTAAAACAAACATGTTTAACAAGAACGTCATCAGCCAATCAGAGGAGGCGCTGCATTGTGACAGAGCAGGGGGAGATGGTCACCTGACAATCCTGCAAGACTCTGTGAACCAGGTAAGTCTGCCTCTGCACACCTGTCTGTCTGTCTGTGGCAAAGGTAGCCTCAAACCTATCAATCATCTGTGAAGCCCCGCCCCCAGCCTTAGTGAGACCACCAGCCTTCATTCTTCCTCTCCTTTGTGTGGGTTTGGTTGCTGCACTCTGATGGGCTGTTCTAAGACCATGTGACAACTCCTCTGACTCCAGTAGGTATCTGATTGGTGGGCCAACTCTCCTCCTTCGCTGCCGCTGAGGCTCCTCCCCATTCTCGTTCTTACCCTGGGTTCCTTCTTTCCATTTGCCATCAGAAGCTCGAGCACTGCTCATGGCCATCCCAACTCTGTTGCCTTGGGAACTGTCTATGATGCTGCGGTGCTGATTGCAATGATGCAGGAACAGTCTGCTGGCACGGCTGAACTTCCTGTTGCAGATGTGACAGCCGAACGGTCGCTTCGGTCTGTGGAAGACAGACGTCTGCAGAGGAGAAAGGTCACGATTAACTGAAGGCTTTCAGGGAGTTTTTAGGACTTCCTGATAATAATGAATTACAGTCGTCCAGCCTGGAAGTAATAAATGCATGAACTAGTTTTTCAGCGTCACTCTGAGACAGGATATTTC